CTCTCTCTCTCTCTCTCTCTCTCTCTCACGCACACACACACACACACACACACACACACACAACTCAATAAATAGATACAAGCAAATGAGTCCATTTAGTGTTGCTTTTCTGTATGTAGTGGTGCTTTTAGGGCTTACCACTTGATATTGGATGAGTAGTTATGAACCTCATCCTTGAGAAGATTGTCTCTCCCTCCCTCAGCATTCATTATCTAGAGGTCGAACCCCATGAGAGTTCCCTCTTTCACATTAGCATGTCAATTGATATTGTCATTGTTCTAGTCTTGTTTAAACAATCAAATTGTTGAGATTTCATGGATACAGCTTCCTTGTGATATAGAGAAGATGCAATTCTGTAGCACATATCCTACCTAGTCTTCTGGTTCTTACACTCATTAACCTGTTGTTCCGTGATATTCCTTAAGCCTTAGGTGTAAGGGTTGTATTAGATATTAGTTGGGGATAGACACTCCCATGGTCAGTTGTTCTCTGCACTGTGGTAATTTGTAAGTTTCTGTAAAGTCTTCATCTGCCATAAGAAGCCTTTCTGATGAGTGATGAGAGCTACACTTACCTGGGGGATTAGTATTAAGAATACAATTAAGATACATACAAGTAACATTATATGGACTCAACAGCTTATATTTGGGGATATACATGAATATACAAATAAATGCATGTACACAATAATAATTAATGAAAAAAAGGCCTTGAAATAGTTTAGAAGGTGAAAAGGACAGAAAGATGTTGTAATTAAAATACAGTATCAAAAACAGAGAATGCCATTAAAGGTAGTACTGACTGGTTCGGGAAAGTGGCAGTAGTAGATTTTCCTTAAAGTTCCATGACCTCACTAGCTGTGTTTACAGTACCACACGCGAATTCTCTTCTATTGGGCAGGACTTAAGGCCAATTAGAAAGTTAATGGGTACCACTACTTTACCTTTATGGATATATTGCCATACTGGTCATTGTGGTTCATACCCATGATTGCTGGGATGGACTATTGACAGCTTTTCTTTCTTTGGAACTTGTATAGCACTTTATAATACAATTAAAGCTAATCCTCAGGGAAGAGGCTTTCAGGTCAGATACAGTTCAGTTCCTCTAAGTCCTGTTTCCAAAGTAAATAGTGATGTCAGCAAGATACTTACCTTCTAAGAGTCAACCAAGGGTGATGGCAATAGAGGCTAAAATATACTTTTAAGTAGCCTTCCTACCTTCATAATGTGAAGAAAAGCTGTCCTCTCACTCACCAAATATTTTTCCCTTCAGATATGTGGTTTGTTATCAAAAATATTGGCAAACCTGTTGCAGGTAAAAAACTCAAAATGAACAATTACTTATATACAAAACTTTGTATTCCTTAAATATAAGTTGAAAGCATGAGAACTTAAACACAGAATAAAATGATACATGGACTATCTTCTTCATACTGAAAGGGCTGACTGTGTAGACCAAGTGACCAATGGAGAGACCCCATTTGATCAGTTTCGGTGTGGTTGTTTACACAGGGCAGATACATAGGCAACTAAACAAATAGTCATCTACATAACATACCACTGACAAGAAGGTTCAAATGCATTTTAGTACCGTTATAAGAAGCTGAATTCACAGTCTTCGTCCAGTCCAACCACACGTACTAATTTATTGTGCAACTCAAGATCTTGCATTGAGTTCTCCTTAACTTAAAAGTTTGTTATCCTGGACATCTATCTATTTTTTTCTGCAACCAAAAGTGATGGAATTCCTATAATTTGGGGACTTAGATGTACATTGCTTTACAAATTATTCAGGGCACTCTTGGGACCACAAATCTGTCCATTTCTGATCTCTGTTCTATAGACGCAGGCCATATGCAGTTAGCTCAATAGAAAGCTGGCTACTTTCCCCCTGCCCTCAGTGAATTTTGCTAGCACTACTTCAAGGTTTTCCTGGCCCCTTTATTTAGTGATAGGTCTGTCCTCTGAACTTACCTTATACATTTGTCAGTTAACCATTGCTCTGTTAGAGTTCCAGGTTACTTATTGTCTTGACCTCTTGTTTAAATACTGTTGTCATTCTTCACCTATACTCATATCAAGTCTTTATAGTGAGGGTCTGTGCTGAGACATCAAATTTCCCCTTTCCTGTGAGTGGATGGTGAGGTGGTAGAAGGTAGATTTTAATTCGAATACAGAGCAAAGGAGCCTCCAGGGTTCCATGCCTTACTTGGGATCTTCACTGCCTTTGCTGCTAATACTTGGTTTAGAATGAGTAGACTCCTCATATAAAAAAAGGGGCCAAAGCTGCAAGTGAATTCATAGGGCAAGAAGAGGGTTGTGTTAGCTGTAAGAAGATAGTGAGTAACTCTAAACCATTACATAGCACATTTGAAATACAGCAAAGAAAACAAAACATTTTGACCATTTCATGGTAGAAATTTTCATATGTACCTGTGTACTCATTTATTTTTGAACATATAAATAAATATAATTGATGATTGATTTATAGATCTTCTTTTACTAAAGAGGCTCCAACACTTCATTGTTTTTGCTCCGTTACTCAAAAGTGGCACTCGAAAGCATTTGAAGCTTAACATACTCGAGTCCTATATTTGAGAGTGTCCACCCACAAAACAAGGTCCCTGAGGGTTGAGACTTCAGCTGATTTTTAATATGGTCCCATTGTACCTTTATAAATGAGAGGTTTGTTGGCACACCCCTCCAATATGCTACTTTAATAGTTCACATGTTTTTCTTTACTGTTCATCTCTGATCTTCTGGGTCACAAGCCACACCAAATATGCTGGTAGACTCCTTGGCCAAGAAAGGCTGATGCATGTAAGCTGACTAAATATGAACTGAATTACATGAATATATTCTCTTCTAAGATAATTTTCTTAAATTGAATAATCTACATTATAATATACAGGATGTTTAGCCTGTTGATTTTTTTGTAATGTGTATAGGTTTTGTATTTGGGATAATACATAAAATAATTGATGTCATGCTTTCACTCTGAATAGGATAAGGATGGAAAACCACTCCTTTCAAAAGAACCCCAGGAACAACTTGCAGTAAGCAATCTGCTTTCTCTAAGACTGTCTGTCTTCTATGGACTCTGATTGGTAATCTGGGAAGGGTATACCATTCTATTCTAAGAAGCTTATCAGAATGTGATATGGCGGATACTGAAGAAGCTTGTCAGTATTATGACTCTATTTGTTGATGGTTTTTGCTTCTTGTAGCCCTTAAGTGATGACTTCCTTCTTGATGCATTATCTCAGGATTTCTCCAGTCCTGCAAACATATCGTCTCTTGTAAGTATAAATTCCCTGTTTTACTCTCTCTCTCTCTCTCTCTCTCTCTCTCTCTCTCTGTCTTTTTTTTCTTTTTTGTTTTTGTTTGGGTTTTGATTTTTAAAGGCAGAGTTTCCTTACACCTTTGGCTGTCCTGAACATGCTCTGTAGACTAGGATGGCCTAGAACTCAGAGCTCCACCTCCCTCGTCTACTGAGTACTGGGAAGAAAGGCATGCTCCACCACTGCCTCATGATCTCATGGATAAATTTTGACTTTGGATATGAAGTGGGAAAAGGTTATAAATATTAATGACATTCAATGCACCATTAAAAATTGCTTATACCTTAATTACTCTAGAATATTGGATGTTTTCAACAGACTAATTCAACCAACAACCAGGTCTTATATTAGGTAGGCTTATGAAAACAGAATTTCAATTTGAATTTATCTGAAATCACTTTTCATCCTACCTAATTTCTACTATTTATCACTTTCCAGATTGTCTCCTAAGGAAAGCTAGCTTCATGTGGAATAATAGTCACTCAAAGAGAATTCTATTACCAGGTGGTTTGGTCAGTGTTTAATAATTTTGAACATGTCCTCTTCACTAGGATTTACATGGCTTACACAAACATGTAAATCTCTTAACGTTCCCAAAATTATACAACTGAAGCATCTAGGCTATATATTTACAGTGAAACTAGTTTATCATAAAGTTAATGTATTTTTGAAGTCTGTTAGAAAATAAATATGTTCCTATATGCACAATGGCTTGGAATATGTTTTAGTTGGAACAGTGAGAAGAAAGAAGGGCTCTTGCGATTTCCTGAAGTTTTTGTGCTTTAAAGACAATCATTACGTGATTCTTATAATGTCTTAAATCTTAAAATGTACTGGTGGGTATAATAAAGGAAAGAGATTGCAGTAAACTCAAATTTAAAGTAAAAATGAGAAAGATATAACAGGCAGCAGAAGAGTTAAACTGATTGTGGGAGAAACATTGTGCACAATGATTTTTAAAAAATTCTAGAGAAAAATACAATCAGTATAATTCATAAAACCTAAACAAAAGCAAAACAAAATAAAGCACTAAATAGAAACTAAAATCTAAAGAACTGATCACAAAATCCTTCCATTAGAAGTTAATTTTTCTAAATATCACTATCAGGATAGTCTGTGACATAAAAAGTGATGAAAAGAATGATGTTCTGCAAAGTTGCTCCTTACCTATCTCATTAAGTATGATCATGTCAAGAAAAGTCACTTTATTTGATTGGTATAAAGGTATTGACAGGCACTATAATAAGTATTTAAGTCACTATTTGCCAAAATCATAAATATTAATTGGCAAGGAAATTGTCAATATAACACAATAATATATCCAACTAGAAACGATCAAATAATTATGTTCATATAAAAGATCTATTTAAAGGCCACATGTGGTGAGACATTCCTCTAATCCGAGTCAAAGGCAGATGAATCTTTGTGAGTTCAAGGCCAGCCTGGTCTATATAGTGAGATCCTGTCTCCAAAACCAAAATAGGGCTGCAGAGTTAGCAGCTCAGTAGTTAAGATCTCTGTTGCTCTTAAAGAAGACCCAGCACTTAGAGTTACAACTGTAACTCTAGCCCCAAGGAATCTGGTTACACACCTGACATTCACAGACACCAGGCACACACATGGTATATATATATATGTACATGCAGGTAAAAGAACACTCATTTACATAAAATAAATATTTAAAAAGCTATATATTTGAATTTTAACAAAAATTCATGCTTTAAATAAAAAACAGTGGCAATTCCATATTTGTATCTGTTGAGTTTCTCTTTTTTATTAATTTTTTTATTTATTGCATTTCAGTTGTTGTTCCCCTTCACTGTCTCTCCTCCAAAATCCCCCTATCCCCTTTGCCTCTAAGAAGGTACTCACCCACCTACCCACCCACCCACCCACTCTTGGCTCACCCCTCCAGCATCCTCCTTCTCTGGGGCAACAAGCCTCTACAGAACCAAACCCCTCCTATCCAACTGATGCCAGATAAGACTACATATGTATCTGAGGCCATGGACCCATTCATTTATACTCACGTACCCCCAAGAAAAAACAAGAAATTAGTCATCTCTCAACATGTCCAAAAGAAGAGAACCACACAAACTTAATACCACCTCTAACAAAAAAATAACTGGAAAAAACAACCATTGGTCTTTAATATTTCTCAACATCAATGGACTCAATTCTCCAATAAAAAAAAACCTAGGCTAATAGACTGGATACCTAAACAGGACCTTTGCTGCACACAAGAAACATACTTCAGTGACAAAGACAAACACTACCTTAGAGCAAAAGGCTGGAAAAATTTTCAAAGCAAATGGTCCCAAGAAACAAGCTGGAATAGTTATTCTTATATCCAATGAAATAGACTTTCAACCAAAAGTTATCAAAAGAGATGGGGAAGGACACTTAATATTCATCAAAGGAAAAATCCACCAAGAGGAACTCTCAATTATGAACACCTACACCACAAATGCATGGGTGCCCAGAGTTGTAAAAGAAATGTTACTAAGCTCAAAACACATATTGAACCTCACACAATAATAGTGAGAAAATTCAACACCCCACTTTCACCAATGGATAGATTCTGAAAACAGAAACACAGAGACACAATGAAACTACCAGAAGTTATGAAACAAATGGATTTAACAGATATCTACAGAGCATTTCACTCTAAAACAAAAGAATATGCCTTCTCAGCACCTCATGGAACCTTCTCTAAAATTGATCATATAAATGGACAAAAAACCAAGCTTTAACAGAAACAAGAAGATTGAAATAATTCTAGGCATTCTATCAGATCACCACAGACTAAGGCTGGTCTTCAATAACAACAAAAACAACAGAAATCCCACATACTCATGGAAACTGAATAACTCTTTACTCAATGATAAATTAAAGACTTTCTAGAGGTCAATGAAAATGAAGGCACACCATACCCAAACTCATGGGGCACAATGAAAGCAGTACTAAGAGAAAAATTCATAGCACTGAGTGCCTGCAATAAAGAAATTGGAGAGATCCTACACTGGCAACTTACTAGCACATCTGAAAGCTCTAGAACAAAAAGAAGCAAATACACACAAGAAGAGTAGACAGCAGGAAATAATCAAACTCAGGGATGAAATCAACCAATTAAAAACAAAGAAAACTATACAAAGAATCAACAAAACTAAGAGTTGTTTCTTTGAGAAAATCAAGAGGATAAACTCTTACCCCAACTAACTAAAGAGTACAGAGACAGTACATCCAAACTAAGAAAATCAGAAATGAAAAGGGAGACATAACAACAGAAAAAGAGAAAAATTTTAAAAATCATCAGATGCTTCTACAAAAGCCTATACTCAACAAGATTGGAAAATCTAGATGAAATAGATGATTCTAGACAGAAAATAGGTACCAAAGTTAAGTCCAGAACAGATAAACAGTCCCATAATCCCAAAGAAAATAAAAGAAGGCATTAAAAGTCTCCCAACCATCGGGCAGTGGTGGCGCATGCTTTTAATCCCAGCACTTGGAAAGCAGAGGCAGGAGGATTTCTGAGTTTGAGGCCAGCCTGGTCTACAGAGTGAGTTCCAGGACAGCCAGAGATACACAGAGAAACCCTGTATTGCAAAAACAAAAACAAACAAAAGTCTCCAATGTCCCCTCACCCACCCCCCCAAAAAAAGCCCAGGGCCAGATAGTTTTAGTGTAGAATTCTAAAACGTCCTAATACTAATACTTCTGAAAGTATTCCATAAAATAGAAACAGAAGGAATATTCCTAACTTCATTCTATGAAGGCACAGTTATGCTTATACCTAAACCACACAAAGACCCAACTAAGAAAGAGAACTTCAGACTAATTTCACTTATATTGATAAAAAAATACTCAATAAAATTCTCACAGACCAAATTCAAGAACACGTCAAACCCATTATTCACCATGATCAAGTAGGCTTCATACCTGAGATAAAGGGATGTTTCAATATATTGAAATCCATCAACATAATCCACTATATATAGAAACTCAAAGAAAAAAATCACATGATCATCTCATTAGATGCTAAAAAGCCTTTGATAAAATACAACACCCTTTCATGTTAAAAGTCTGGGAAAGATCAGGAATTCAAGGCACATACCCAAATATAATAAAAGTAATATACAACAAAGCAGCAGACAACATCAAATTAGAAACTTGAAGCAGTCCCACTAAAATGAGGGACATGACAAGGCTGCCCACTCTCTCCATATCTATTCAATATAGTACTAGAAATTCTGGCTAGAGCAATTAAACAGAATAAAAGGAGGTCAAAGAGATACAAAGTGGAAAAGAAGGAGTCATGGTGTCACTATATGTGAATGATATGATATTTGTGGATGATAAGTTACCCAAAAATTCAACCAGAGAACTCCTATACCTTATAAACAACTTCAGCAATGTGGCTGATATAAAATTAATTCAAACAAATCAGAAGCTTTCTTCTACATATAAGCTAAATAGGCTGAGAAAGAAATTACGGAAACACAATCTTCACAATAGTCACAAATAATATAAAATATCTATGATGTTTGAGAGTTTTCCTGGGTATATTAGCCAGAGGTAGCATTTGTGCTCTCTTAGGGTCTGCATGACATCTATTCAAGATCTGGCTTATAGAGTCTCTCTGTTGAGAAGTTTGATGGAATTCTGATAGGTTTACCTTTACATGTTACTTGATCTTTTTCCCTTAGTGATTTTAGTATTCTTTCTTTGTCCTGTGCATTTGGTATTTTGATTATTATATGATGAGAGGGATTTCTTTTTCTGGTCCAATCTATTTGGTGTAGGCTTTTTATAAGTTTATGGGCATCTCATTCTTTAGGGATGTTTTGTCTATGATTTTGTTAAAGATGTTTACTGGCCCCTTGAATTGGGTATTTTGGCTCTCTTGTGTACCTATTATTCTTAGATTTGGTCTTTTCATTATGTTCCAAAATTCCTGGATGTTTCGGGTTATGAGCTTTTTGCACTTTGTATTTTTTTTTTTTTACTGTTGTGTCTGTGTCTGAAAAATATCTCTTCTATTTGTTGTATTCTGATGTTGATCCTTGAATTTGTAACTCCTGATCACTTTCCTAGATTCTCCATCTCCAGGGTTGCCTCCCTTTCTGATTTCTTGATTGTTTCTATTTCCATTTTTAGATCCTGGACTTTTTTTTTTTTCAATTCCTTCACCTGTTTGATTGTGTTTCCTTGTATTTTTCTTTAAAGGATTTATGTTTTTCCCCTTTAAGGGCTTCTACCTGTTCACTTGTGTTCTGTATTTCTTTAAGTGAGTTATTTATGTCCCCCTTAAGGTCCACTATCATCTTCATGAGATGGGATTTTAGGTCAGAATTTTGCTTTTCAAGTGGGTTAGGGGATCCAGGGCTTGCTGTGGTGGAAGAACTGTGTTCTGACAGTGCCAAGTGGCATTAGTTTCTGTTGCTCATGTTCTTGAGCTTACCTCTCCCCATCTGGTTATCTCTGATGTTAAGTGGCCTTGCTGTCTCTGACTGAAACCTGTCTCTCCTGTGAGCCTGGTTATAAAGACCTCCTGGGAGTCAAACTATCTCTGAGTGTGTGTGTTTTGGGGAGGGTCCTGGATCGCCTTGTAGTGACAAACCTCCTGGGGTTCAAACTGGCTCTGGGTATGTGAGAGGGTCTGGAGCACCAGCTCTTCCCTGGGCAGAGTTACTCGCTGGAAGAAGGATGGTATGTCTCCCCTGAGGCCACATGGGGGTCTCAGTCAGGCCATGTGTTGGAACAGTATGTCCGTCTCACCTCTGAGACTCGTTATGATTGACTTCCTTGGAGTCAAGCTGCCTCTGGGCATAGGAGGGGATAGGAGTGTAGGGCATGACTGGGGCAGAGTTGTATCTGTTCAGTTTCAAGAACAAAATATTTAATATAAATCCAGAAACATTTTCTAAAATTATGAACCTTTTATTTTTTGTTAAATGTTTTAAGAAAAAGCCATTAACAAGAAATGAAAAGTAATTGACAGACAATCAAAAGGAATGCTTGTATGTATTGTAGACATGGCTGCTTGTAAATAAGACATGTAAATAATATCCTGTGTGCTAGTTTCTCGGTAAAAAGTCAGTAATATCAAATTTTAAACTCATATTAAAAACATGAAATAAATAATAAATACAAAACAAAGACACAGAAATGTGACTCTGTGTACCTAATGTGATCTCTTCTAAAACCATGAAGGCTACTCTTATAAGTTAATTTATTATTACAGTATTTCTAAGGTACTTTCTGTAGCTCAATAAATATATTTTAAAATGTATTTGAGAAGCAAATATACAAAAATATGAAAGCCTAAGTATTTTAAAATGTTTTAGGAATTATTTGGACCTTTGCTGCAGTGATAAGTAACAACTCCAGCCCTAATTCAGAGAGGAAACTTACAACACAGTTCACAGGAGTAAAAGGAAATTAATGTAAATGGGAAATGTAGGATTTGAAAGACAACCAGAGAATAAATCAGAAAGTTTCTCAGACAATTTGGTGTATATTATTGAGAATAAACTACTACTGATGGTTTGAGGCATATAACACAATGTATTAGTGACAGTAGTATGTCACCAAGCAGTTGTTCGAAGTGAGCATGTGATATAATTATGACAGTAGAAAATAGTCCATGTTTTCAGCAATATGCATTCCTATATGGAGTCAGTGCTGTGGATATTTAAAGACCCATTTGTTACAAAATATGAAGTATATGTTTCTAAATAGAAGAAGAAAGTATTTTGAAGTTTTTTACCATAAAGAAATGATAAATATTTACACAGATAAGTTTAACCCGATTTAAACAATATATAAACATACCTTGCCAGTGTGCTTTACGCCATTAATATGTAGAGACTTTTCACTTTTATAAATAAGTTAAAATAAACTTAAATTTAAAATTTTGTCTTCCAACTAATTCCTACCTCTCGTCAGTGCCTGTAACACTGAATATCACAATTTTTAAAGCTCTAACTTTCTCTTTTCCAATTGGAGTATGAGACATAAGGCTACACTCCTCTTTCTAACTTCCAAACTCCTCAACTTGGCATCCTCAGACCTCTAGCATTTGAATGAAATTTTCCATGTTTGAATATGCTGTCTTTGGGCAATTCCAGGATGATAGGCCTTAACTAACTGCCATTTTCCATTACATCTTACTTCTGATTTTTCATTCATTTGAAAAGAAACTAAGCTGAAAAACATTTAAAAGCAAAAACAAAAACAAAAACAAACAAAAATCAAAAACAAACCCAAAAGAAAAAGAAAAGACACGAATCTATAACTTAAACAGAGCTGTAGAGCAAATAGTTTCAAACTAATTTTTAAAAGGTTTTGATTATCCAGTGTAGACAAGCCACAGAACCCTTAGTAGATTGTTAGAATAACAAATGGGAAATAGAAATAGTAAATCATGAGCTGGACAGAGTCTCAGTAGTTAAGACCACATATTCTTGTACAGGGACACATTCAGTTCCTAGTACCTACAGAAGGTGACTCACAACCTTCTGTAACTCCCATCCCCAGTGCATCCAATGCCACCTTCTGACATTCATGGCCAATTACACTCACATGCATAATCACTGTCATGTACACAAATGCATACATGTAATTAATATTAAAAATAGATCTAGAAATGAGAAATTGTAAAAACACTATAAAAATTGAAATAGAAAACAGTGCTTTAAAGATGCTATGATGCATGTATTTGAATAAAAAAGAAAAGCAGCCATAAAGCAGTTTTAAGGGTTATATTTTAAATGATGAAATTATGATTATAACCTTACAACATGCAACCTTTTAATAGTATTCTCTTTTTTTTTAATAAAAGGAATATGAAGATGCCAAACTTTCTGCTGCCATTTCTGAATTAGTTTCCCAGATGCCTGCTCCAAGCACCCACACAGCAGCCCCACCACCTGGTACCGAGGTGAGCAACATACCTTCCTTGGTAAATATTCTTACAAGAAAGAAAATAAGGCACCTGTCTAACACAAATGAAATCAGAAAAATTATTGTCTGTAGTGCCAAATCATCCATTATCCATAGAACATCAAAAGATAAAGGGGCTACCCTTAACCCAATCTTGTCCTCTTTGTTTAGGGAAGTGCCTCATTTGCTAGCAGAATTTCCCTTAGTGAAGTCAGCTTTCCTTCCTTTCCTTTTGATGTGATATCAAAGCTTCCTTAATGCAGTGGTCTTGAATTCTGGTGAGGTTTTTGCCCTGTTGGGTCAGCTCAAGATCATCTGAAAATATCCAGAGACAAAGCCCAGATTAGCCACAGGTACCTCAACCATTTACAGCTATGTTTCTGAGCTCTAATGGGAATTGGTTGCTTAAAACAAGCAAAATGCTCCCTCCCTTCCCCTTCCTCCTCCTTCCTCATTCTCACCCTCCCTCCCTCTCTCTATCTGTCTGTCTGTCTATCTGTTCTTCTCTCTCTTTTCCTCCCTATACCCCCTCTATCTCTGTCTGTGTGTGCCTGTCTCTTTCTCTGACTCATGTTGGATTTTGTGTGTGTGTGTGTGTGTGTGTGTGTGTGTGTGTGTGTGTGTGTGTGTGT